ATATATATATATATATATATAAAAGGATCAAAACATGACAAGAAAAGATTGTTTTCCATTCCTGATCCTTGTGGCTATTATTGCTCTACCGCCATCTCATCAAATACACTTCGAAATAGCCCATCAAAACGTGAAAAGTTGAAGCTACAAGGTGATTCAATATATAAATAATTATAGTTAAATATAAAGCGTAACAATACTAGCAGTATTATTGATGCAAACAGTAACAAATAGAAAAAAAAATGTTGGTAACGAGAGACGATCATTTATCCCCAAGGGACTAGCTTTCTGTCAATAAGATGTGGACCACAGTATTTTAGCAATGGACGCAAAGGAGGACAACTTACCTCATAAGGTGAAACACGATAATGGGGATTTCTTTGCCTTTTCGTTGCCCTCCCTGCACTACAAAGATACATATCCTTATTAACAAAAGAAAGAGCCTTGACATCACTATACGGTAAGGCCAGCCGGTACGGTTCTAGATCTCTCACAAAAGGAGCTGCATCATCAAAGTCAAGTCCTACATAGAAAAATTTCTCTATGGGGTAACGTAAAGCCTCTCTGTGGTAGTTGACAAAACGGTCGCGTTTATGCTTCCATCCTACAACAATAATCGAATCTGGGAAATGACCTGTTATTTCGTAAAAGCGTGCAATGCTAAACAACAAGTTTTCAAAAGAATCCCGGGCAAACTCCTCAGTAAAGACATGTTGCGCGAGAATGGACCTTGCCTGAGACGTAGAATTAAAGAGACCAAATAAATTTGTTTCCTCTGCCACAATATAATAACTCAGAGCTTCGCTACGAGGTCCAGCACAGGCTCTAGTCTGACCCCCCGAAAAAATCAATATCGAAGAATTAACTCGATCTTTTAACAAAACAAATGCCCGTCTAATATGGGAGGCAAAACAAAATGGCAAAGCAACACCATCACGCAGTTGATAACTCTCTAATCCCCAATTACTTTGATTTTTCCAATCCGAAGCATTCAACGACTGTAAAACACCATGGCCTGGAACCATAATCAGCGTGCGTGTATTACGATACACAGGGTTAAAATATTGGGCTCCCTGATAAATTTCATTGATCGCTTCTCTCCTGCCGTGATCCTGCTGGATCAAAGCAAAACATATCACATATACCAAAGCAACCAATAACAATAAAAAACGCCACCTGCGTGAAGAAACCCTCATTCCTTCAGCACCTGATTCAAGAGAAGAAGTATATACAAAAAAAAAGTAATGTGTAAATAAAATAATAATAAAAATATTACACTTTGTAGATAGAAATCAACTCATAAGTTGTCAGCAACAGTTTAGTAAAGAGCCAAGAAAGGGTAAAGAGCAGTATAGAAAAAAAAATTTTTTTTTATTGTCTCTGGCGTTTACGTGCTGTTATAGCTTCCATAACAGCAGCTGTTATTAAGTAGTAATTTGAAGTTTGTAAAACGTCAAATGGTCCAAGTCCTGAATCAATGGAGGCTTTCACGGAAGCATTAATGCTTTTTGCAAAGATTGGAAGTCGAGCATAATTCATTACCTTAATGCAGTTTGCCACACGTGCAACACTTCGTCTTACATCAACGTCTGTTTGCTCATTAAAGTGAGGATCACTATTTGCCCCCTTCCCCTTTCCCATATCTGGACTTACCCAAATCATACCATTCGTGCCAAGAACAATACTCACCAGCGAAATATCAACGTTAAAAAAATGATGTTTGGCACGCTTCACCAACGCAGGGGATACCTGTACAAGAGTACCAAAACCATTAGGTTTTCCGTATTTGTCACCGGATCGAGTATGAAGAGAAACTACACCATCAGGAGAAATGCGCTGCACCTCGGCAACAACTAGTTCATCTTGATCAAATATATGTCTCATTGTGAGTTCATCGTTTCTTCCTCGCCTCCTGAGAATACCGCCAGGTTCAGTTGCATTCGAAAGCAACATCACTCCTTCCTGATAGGCACAAATATCAATGCGCCACCGATTACCGCTGACTTCATTTACTCGACCAACTACAATATCTCCTATTTCAGGGAGATAGCGTGTCGGCATTCCTTTGACCGAAACCACACGATCTGTTACTTCTATCAGACCATTTATGGCAGCAATGATTTCACCGCCTCCTTCCTGTGCAGCCACAACCTCATTTGGTCGATCACCTTCATAGGTACTGTAACCCCGAAGAAAGACGACATCTTCCGATCCCAAGAGTTTGGAATCACCCAAAGAACCACATATAGAATCCCCAACAATACAAGTGGTGATGTTCATAGCTAAACTCAACCTGCAAAACAAAAGGAATAAAAAATAAGGCCGTAAAAAAAATGCACGATTATTCCATTTACATTCTATAACACAAGAAGAGAAATCTGCAACAAACTAAATTACATCATCGAAAATCACAAAATAAATAAATAAATAAAAACGTAAATCATGCGTTACTTTCTCTCCATAACTTTTTGTTTCAAGTAAAAAATGGGACCATATTCTTGTCAATGAAAAAATATATGACTTATGTTGTTGTTTCTTTGAGAAGGCAATGTCCCAATGGGTAGCTAAAGATTTAGAAAAAATAAAAAACATTGAAAACGGCGTACCATCAGGAAAGCAAACTGTAATTTCCAATAAAAAAAAACTTTCTCAACAAGCTTCAAGAAGCACCACTAAATCCACCCCACATTGCTTTGTATTGGCAGCTTCTGCTGTGAATCGCGGCGGGCTCGGGCGACACCAAGACCCGCTCAGCGCTGCTGACAACGCTTTCCCAATAAAAAAAACATTGAAGAACACCCATCCATCACCCGACTTTGCCTCCTCGTCCAACCCCAGCCGTTTGATTGTTTTTTAGGCTGCAGCCCTAGCGTGGCGTCAAAGCACCGCCCGGGCATTTGGTACTGAATCGTTGGGCTCGTCCTAGGCCCGCGGACAGCGGGTCGCGCCTCTTCCCGTCACCATCTGCCACTGGCGCCGCCGTCTTCTTTACGAAACCTTTCGGTGGGGCGTGTGTGTTTTATGGATCTCTTGGTTGGCACTGGTGACACAAAAACGCCCCCAATCGTTTTGGCGTTCTAGCACGTTTTCAACACCGTGGGCTTTCCTGTAGATGTTTGTCGTAACCACTGTTGCACTTATATTGTGGGTTTTAAACGAGCGCACAGTGTGCAACAGATCTTGAAGGGGTATTGAAGGAGTACCGTCTCCGCCTTTTCAGAGTTGAATAACTTGAAAATGCCACCGATGCCGCTCCCCATGTACAGACAGAAGACTTTGATGGGGCAAGATGTTTTCTTTTTTGCGCGCCTTTTTTTCTTTATCACGCTTTATAGTTAGAGCCACTCCCCTTTTGTTGTTGCTTTTTGGTTAATACAAAGGTTACTGCGCTCCAAGGAAAACAAACACACGCACACATATTTTTGCATGCGTGCGGACAAATGGTATCGCGT